GGGGGGGGGGGGTTGCCACCCCTCTTTCTGCTGCCCCCCCCCCCCCCCCCCCCCCCCCAAATTGATACCTAGATGTGTCCTGCTGGCTGTAGGAGGAACCTGGTTGGTCTGGAGATGTTTGCTCGTAGGCAGGCGTCTGCTCCCGCCTCTCGTTAGTCATTGCAATGCCCTCATGTAGAAAACCAGGTTGGAGGACGTGGAAACCACCTGGGTGCCCTCAGCTTTTGCTAAGATGCCTTCAGCGCCCGGCTGAGCTTCCAACCTTCTCTCTCGCTCCCTCCTCATGTGTCCAAACGGCAGTGCGGGTTTCCCATGGAAATGAAGAAATGTCAATGCGGTGCTGTCGTCGGCGGAGCTAACCACAGACCTGAGGCAGGCTTCACGCAGAAGGAAATGTAAGTCAACCCTCCCGGCTCCAAAGCCCCAGATGGCTTCACCCGTCCACCTAACCCTCCCACGGAGCCACAGGCACCGGGGGGCGGGAAATGCTGTGGTTGGCCAAAACAAAAAGCCTCCGCGTCCCGTCGTGGGACCTAGGGAAAGACGTGGTGGGTAATTGCTTGTTCTGAATGCAGCACCAAGGACAAAACGGAGAAAGGGTACGTCCTTGAGAGCCCCGGCTTGCGGAGAAACGAGGTGGAGAGGTGCCTGTCTCCTGCCTGCGTCGGTCTCGCGAGAGCTCTGCTCCATTCGTCCCTCCTGCTGGGGATCCAGGTGGACAAACAGGTGAGCCACCACCACCACGCCGTGAGGAGCCTTCAGCCTAGCTTGGGAGGAGACGTTCCTGTGAGCCTAACGGAGGAGAACCTGCTCCATCTTCCAGGCGATTCGAGACCTGATGAAAGAGCAACCGGAGGACATGGAAGAGTTCTTCTGGGGCCACCTTCGGAAAGACGCGGCGTGCCTGGCGGAAGCGCTTGGCAGGAACACGGAGGACGCCGTGTTGACTGTCCATCTGTTTCTACGGCACCTGAGCAACGACAACCTAGAAGGTAGAGAGATGCTGGGAAGCTCCGGGAGGTCACCAGCAGGCTTACGGTGGTCAGGTTTTAACCGGGACCTTCCTTCTTCCCGGGTTCCTCCTTCCTGGGGCGGTCTCCATCCCGGGAAACTGGTGAGAAGACGGGGAGGGCAGTGAGCTCATTCAAAGCGCTCGGGCCAGACCAGCTTGAGGGCATGAGGAGATTGGGAGATAGTTTGCTCCGAGGAGGCGTCTGTGTCATCCCTTCTGCCCTCGGTTCCTCTTATTTCTCCATCTTCTCACTCCTCGCCATCAAGAAACCCAGCAAAGTTCTGGGCAGACCCCAGGGTCTACAGGGTAGAACCTCACCTCTTTCTTTGTGTCTTCGACAGACGACAGCGCAGCCTTGAGCGTCCTGCGTGAGAAAAAGGACCGAGAAGATTGGGAAACCTCCTTCAAAACCCTGGCTCAGCCCTTTTTCCAGGTACGCCCGCACCCGGCTGCTGCTCGCCGGTATCGCGTACCCAAAGCACCGCTTTGCCGGCGGTCGCATCCGTGTCCAGGGATATCTGCTGAGCTCGGGGCATTCCCGTGTGGAAGAAAAAGAGGTTTGTTCCCTCTCCGTTGAACTGGGAGCTTGCGCTGGTGTGGTCTCCTGCTCTGCTCCTGCAGAGAGGCGGCTTTTTTGGGGGATGCTTTTTATATGCCAATTCAGATCCTCCTTGGAAACAGGGTGGGTTTCTTGCCTTGGAGAAAATCGCCTGTGGGTTTCTCCCTGGGAATTTCTGTTCTTGTCCCTGTGGCGGCAAGTTCTCACCATGCCCCCCACTTCTCCAGAGCCCTCGTTGCCTTTTTTTTTTGCCTTAAGACCCCGTGAATCCCCTCAGGCTGCTTGGGTAACCAGGGCTGGCTCCTAATGACCCTTGGTTTCTTGCAGGAATTGGAGCAGACCCTTAATTCTGTCAAGGAGCAGAGGATGAACGAAGGTCCTGGTGGCTCCAGCGTCCTCCTGAAAATAGCTTATGGCCAGACACCGCCTTTCCAAGACCTGCCAAGCCAGGGATTGATCAACCAGCCCTGCATGTGGAGATTTGAACAGAAGATGACCATCCAGACCCTGATGCATTTCCTGCAGCAGGAAGATAGAGCAGGCGCTGGAAATCCGTACCCCATTCTACTGGAGGTCCTGTCGAAGGTTAGCTGTGGGAACGTCCCCTCTACACCAAAGCAGATGTGGTAAATTTGGCCTGGTTGGTAAATTTGGCCTGGTGAGGCACCGGGGTAACTTTTTTTTCCTCCCCTTGTGTTTCTTTGGAGCATCCAAGCAAGACAAGGTCCTCCTCCAGAATACTTTGCGGCGCCAGCTAGGATCCCTTGAATCATGCTGAATTTTCTCTCCCAGCTGGAGAACATCTCCCACGTCCGACACCTGCCCGACATCTTCCGTCTGCAGAACGCCCTGATCCACTTCTTCCAAAACAGCCACAAAGGGGAAAAGTACACAGTCCGGCAATTCCTGGACCAGCCTGAACTTTCAGGTGCGATGTGGAATTCCGTCATGCCTCGGGACGTGGGCATTAGACGCTCCTCGGCACCCGGACGCTCTGCTGAGAAGCTGCTGCCGTAGTTTGCGCAGTGGAGCCAAAAAACGGCCCGTCGAGGCTGGGGGTGCCTCTGCAGGAGAAGTTTTGGGGAGGGGGAGGAAATTTAGGAGGGATTGGAGGTCTGAGGCATTGAGATGGATCCGGGGCAGATTGTTTCTCCTGAGGCGTTTGGTGCTTGGTGAGGTTCTGCTGCTGCGAGCGAGCGAGATAGGCGAGACGGGGTTTTCACCTCTGAGGTCATGGTGGCCGGTTGGGTGATGTCATACGTGATCTCGTGCCGGCTCGAAGCCTGCGCGGGGTGGTCCGATGCCTCCCGTGGGAGATCCTGCCGTGTCTCCTGGGAGGATGCCGTGATTTGGGGCCGTTTTCTGCTCTCTCCGCAGAGGACCAGCGTTTGGCTTTCAGCAGAGCTATAGAGACGATCCGGAAAGTTTGGAGCAATATTAAGATGAACCCGGCCAGCTCAGGTATGTGGAAATCCCCAGGACGTCACGTCCCTCTTTCCTTGGCCGTTTCTTCTGGAGGTGCTCTGAAGCTGAGCTGCTTTCTGCCGTGAGCCTTCCTAGCAAAACCGCTGAGCTTGCTTGCTTTCCGCCTGCTAGAAACCCTTCTGAAACTGCAAACCCTAGTAGAAGAAATGCAAACCCTAGTAGAAGAAATGCAAACCCTAGTAGAAGAAATGCAAACCCTAGTAGAAGAAATGCAAAAGCCTAGTAATAGGAAAAAAACAGAGCCTAATAATAGGAAAAAAACAGAGCCTAATAATAGGAAAAAAACAGAGCCTAATAATAGGAAAAAACCCTTCCAAGACCCCAATGAAAGGGAAAATCTCCCCGTGAATCCGTACAAGCCCGTTCCACCCTTTTACAGGCATCACCATCCTGCCGGACCTCTCGCCCAACGACATCAACGTCAACACTGCCATCCTCCACCTCCTCCCCACCCAACCGTCCATCAGCCACCTGGTGACCGCGTTCCTCATCCAGCTGCAGAACAACTGCATCGACACGGCGGCGCGGGTCACCAGGGAGAGGCAACGGTAGGTCTCCAGCCCTTCACCATACGGCTCGTCCGTCTCCTCCACCCTCCGTAAAACCTCACGAGAGGTTTTCGGGACCGGTGTGGGACTTGCGGCGGAGCTCAGACGATGCCATCACAAGGTCGCGGTGGTTTGGCGTTTGGCGAAAGCGGGTCCTCGATGGCGGGGTAGGACGAGGCGAGAGGTCCTGTAACCACGCGGGGCAACCTTTTCTCTCCCAGGTCCATCTCCGCAGAAGAGGTGAAACCCTCCTCTGTGCTGGCCATAACCAAGAGCGATCTGGTGACCATGGCGCTTGCCAACTTGCAGTACGAGATAGACGAAGACGGCACCAGGACGACCTACTTCGACTTCCAGATGCTCCAGCGGCAAGTGGTTCATCGTTTCATCAGCGGAAAGCCCCTTATCAAGGCTCAGGTGAGCTCGGCGCTGGCTGAGTTGTGTCGTCCCAGCTCAGCAGTGGGGTTGGGGTCTGCTTCCAGCCTCTTCTCCGTGCCTTTCTGGAGTCAGCAGACTTGACTGAAGATGTTGGCAGATGCCTGCTGTGCGTCTCTCTCTGTTCCTTGGGGTTTTGAAGGAGCGCTGTGGCCAGAAACTGCTTCTGTGGTCGGGAAACGGTGGCCTGAACGGTAGCATGAGGACCTACAGCCTTGTCTTTTGTGAAGGGGAAGCCAACCTGGTTTCTTTGAGAAGGAGGGAGGAGTTGGTGGCTGTTCGAAGAACTTCAGGAGGCATCTTCCAGGGTTACGTATGGTCCAAAGCGGGACTCGTGCTCCTCCAAGGTGGTTCAGTTTCTTCTGGCTGGGGTTTCTGGTCTCCGTTCTGTGAAAACAAAGCCCAGAGCTGGTGGGAGAAGGGGACTTGAGGACACTAGAACCAGGCTGTCCTGCGGCAACTGGGGCATGCGTGCTCTCCTAAAGGTGGAGATGAATCCACGCTGGCCCTTCCCAGGACCCTTTTGGTCCTTGGAAATAGCTCCCAAGAGGACTTTCTCCCATCGCTTTGCTGGGGACGGGAGGTGAGGCTGCCAGCTCCTCGGATCCTCCTTCACGGAGGTGCCTTCTTCCAGCCATCGGGGACTTCTGGTCTCCACAACCCCACAGTGGCCTCAGGAGGCCGTCAGCCACCTCCGGCAGAACCGTAGGGGACATCCCGTGGACTCAAATCTGCCCAGCCGAGCTTCTCTGCCGGCCCCTGTTAAGTGACGCCAGGCGTTTTTGAGGAGATTGAAGTAGACGGATGCCTGTAAAGTTGAAAGCAGATGACCCTTTATTGCTAAAACACACATATTTATAGTCGCATGTTCCGCAAAGTCACTGTACACGCGCACAAACATAAAATATTGGTTATATCAACTCTGTACACGCGCATGAGCATAAGATATAATTGGTTATATTGACTTAAACATGCGAAGCTTGTCTTAGTCTAATTGGTCGAGATAAACTGCCGAATTGAGGTTTTTTTGTGCCAAGTTCCCTTTATCGTGGAATGTGCACCTGTGTTCTAATTGGCTTTATTATCTTTCTTTTTTTGTCTTCTTGTTTATTCCGCTCGAGGTCTTCTAAAGGTGCCTGCAATGCTCTTGTGACCAACGTTAGCTAAATACGCGTCCACGCGTTTTCGTAACCATCTATCCCAAATCCTTTCCAGACGGCTCCATCCGTTGCTCTCAACAACGTGAGGACCCTCCAGGCCACCAAGATGAAAGTCGGGGATCAAGTGCCACAGGTAGGAAATGGATTGCTGGTCATCTTCTCCAACCAACCCTGAGGTCTCCCCTCAAGTTCCGTGACACGACGGGGGCTCGGAGACGGGGCAGATTTTGCGGGAAGACCCGAGGCCGACTCGAGCAGAGGGTTGGAGACCTGGCAGGCTCCGGTTCTCCTATCCCAAAGGGATGAGCGGGCTGGGAGGGCAAGACATCGTGGTGGACCCAGCTTTCTCCAGGTCCCATCCTTGCTGTTTTCGCCACCAGGAGCCACTCAGCATCAACCAGCAGAAGCGCATCATGGAAGAAGCCCGCTCGGTCAATGCCCTCTCCAAGACCTTGGCCACCCTGAAGGTGGCTGCCGAATTTCTGGCTGTGACGGGTGGGCACCCGGAGTGTCCGCTACCCGAATACGTCCGGCAGGAGCTGAGGATGGAAGCCGCCGCGAAACAATTCCAGGACCTGCCAGTAAGCAAGGGGGCTGGTGGGAAGCGTGGACGTTCGTGACTTCACCCCTCTGGGTGAGGGTTTTGCATCTCCTGTGGCTCCCACCACCTTCACGTGCTCCAAGGTCCCCGAGTTTAGTGTCCGTGGAGGCTTGGGGCTCTCCTGCTCTGAGCAAAAGAGGTCCTGGTCCCCCCCCGAGTGGGTTTAAAAGCTTGGCTGGGAGCTCCCAGGTCTTCATACCGTGTCCACCAGCAAGCTGTGGATGACCAGGGCCACCTCCACGGGCGACGCCGGTCATCTGGGAGCCGAGGGTTTGTAGATGTGCCCACCTGGATTCTTCAACCAGGCAGGATGGGACCTTTTTAAGGAGATGAACCCCCGTGTTTCTCTTTTTCTCTGTCCCCTCATGTTTCTTTGTCCCCCCTTTCTTTCAGGTGGTGCCCAACACCCGGCTGAAGCACATCCTGGCGCTGTGGCAGGTCCTGGCAGCTCGTAGGTCCATGCTGTTGGTACAGATGAACCAGGTAAGGGAGATGAGGTTGGGGAAGGAGATCGGGTTTGCCCCCATGGGAGGAGGAAGGAAATAACGTTGCTGCGGATGGGTGGCGCTTTTGACATCCTGTCTCACCCCTTTCCCTGGGTAAAATCAAGGTCTCCGGCTCATCCGGAAGATAATCCGTCCCGCTCCGGGTACTTTCAAGACCGGCTCAGGTCTTGGAAGCTTTCCAGTGGCCCCAGTAGGAGGTTAAAGGACACAAGGGGGGTTGTGGTTCTCCTTCTTCTACCCGATGTCGCCTCCAGAGCCATCTGGGTAGGGTGTGCTGGGGTCTCCCTGTTGCTGAAGCTGGTGGTCTTCGCAGGATCCCTTCTGCCTGGTACCCAAGGAGTTCCAGGGGCAGCTGGAGGCAAACGAGGCGAAAGCCTTGGCCTCCTCCTTGTCCAACACCAACCTCGACCTCTTCCTCATTGAGCTGCACGAGATGATCACGGTGGCGCTGTCCGGATATCAACCCGAACACGAGTAAGTCCCGGGTCATATCCTGGGACTGCCGGAGTGACGGCAGGAGTCGCGGCTTCCTGGGAGGGTTTGGTTGAGGAGAAACCTCTGAAGGTCTCCGGGCCGCGTCCTCCTGCCCCAGGCGGGTTACTCGAGGCCTTGTCTGGTTGCGTCTTTGTGAATCTCTTTGTCTTTGGAGACACTCGTTTTGGGGGCTGTCCCGAGGTGACATCACCCCTGATGGGAAGAGGTTTTTTTCGTATTTCTCAGCCATCAGCCACCCCATTGGGTCCTGGTGCCCCTGGAGATACCCAAGGGCGGCCTTTAGCACGAGGCGTTGGCCGTCGTTGACCGGCAACCTTGGCCACCGTTGAAAGCTGCCATTGACCGGCGACCTTGACCGAGACAGTGCTTATTGTTGGCAGCCAACGCTGGCTGTGGCTAGCTGCCGGGGTTGGTGGGCCACCCATCCCACCTCCACCCGCTCACCGCTCTGCTCCGCCTCCCCCACAGGCTGAAGTACGCCTTTATGTTCTTCCTGGAAGTCAAAGATTTCCCCACCACGACTGTGGTCACTCTGACGGATGCCCTGGACCCCGACATTCCTGTCGGGAAGATCCTTTCCGTCTGGAGGACGGCTGCAAAGACCAGTCAAATCAATGTCTCCGCCTACGGCCAGGAGAGGCCAGCCCAAGGCAGCCGTTAGCCCCCTTTCTCGCAACGACCCTGCTGGTGGCTCGTCCCCGTTGGGCGCAGAGGAAACATCTACCGCTAATCCCAGCTCCGGGGGCAACGCACCAGTTGCCTGTGGGCTGCTGGAAGTAGCTCCAGCCTCCGATCCCAAACGTCCCTGTCCCTCCAACCCTACTGAGCCGCAGCAAGAACTTGGGAGATCGTCCCCACGGACGGGATCCGAGGAGCTGGAAGCCTCTCTACCACCCCAGCGTTGGTCGGAGAGTGGTTCTGCGTCCCCCCCATGCCCATCAGCGGTGGCCTCTTGTCCTGCCTCGTTCCTTCCTCTCCCTTTCCAGCATCATTAAACGCTCAAGGACCCGTCTTGGTTTCGTGTCGTTCCTCAAATGGTGGTGGAGATCTGGCTGGCGTTGTGGGTGCCACCGGACCTTCACAGGGGCTACCGTGGGGCTCAAGGGGGCCACCGGCCTCCGCAGATGGCCAGGGGCAGGAAAAGGACTGCAGATGTCCCCCCAGTGCTCCCAGTATACCCCAGTGCCGTCAAGGGTTTGACCCATGCGGTGAACTCCTTCTCTTCATCTTCCTGGAGAAGGAGGTCCATGCCCAAACCTCTGTCCTCTCCCCACCCTCCCCGCAGGTGTTCATAGACATGGATGAGATCTCTCCAGTGTCTTCTCCCAGTTCCATCAGCCTCTCCTACGAGAGGTCCTCCAGTCTCATCAACATCTCGGTGGCCTTTCCCTAAGTTTCCTTTCAAGCTCTCCGTAGAGGTTTCACCAACTTGTTGGCGAAGACCGTCTTGTCCCAGTTGGTCAGGTGAATCCCGTCATCTCCCGACAGACCTGGCTTCGCCAAGGTAGATCCACAATCACGGAAGCCCAAACCTTGACTATGGCACCAGCTGCCCCAGTCTCTTTATCATCATCTCTGGACTCTCTCCAGTCTCTTGTACTGGGAAGCCCAGCCCTCCAGGTGTTGCCTCACCAGCACGGAGGTGCAGGACCACCTCCCTCCACCGTGACCTGCCTTTGCGGCAAGTTCACAGTCAACTTGACGTCCGCCAGGACCTTTTCTATCAAACTATGTTCCAACCACGTGTCCCCGCTGTGTCCTGGTGCTGGGGGTTGTCGCAGCACCAGCAGAGGAACCCCGTGATGTTCCCATCAGGCCATCTCTCCGGCTTACTGGTTTCTCTGGGTGGCAGCAGGAGACTTTGGGCATTTCAGCCACTTTTACCACTTTGGGGTCATCTCCAATCTTGCCGGTTGACAACCCATCTGGCTGCTCAACCAACCCCTACAACGGCTTCTCTAGGAGGATCTAACGGGAGATGGTGTTGAAAATCTTCCTGAACGTTGAGGTGGACAACTGTCCGCTGCTCTCCCCGTGGCAGTTGTTGCGTCGTAGATGTTTTATCGAGTCGGATGAGCGTGACTTCTCCTTGGTGAAGCCATGCCGATGCCTCCTGATGTTTTTCTCATCCTTTACGTGCCTGGAAGTGGTTTCCAGGGTTAGTTGCTCCGTCGTCTTCCTTTGGGAAGTCCCTGCTGGCCCTGCGACCGCTGCTCCACAGCATTCCTTGAGCAGCCGGTGAATTGGGGATGGTGGCATGGACAGGGACATGGCAGGAGACGGAGAAGGCCCTGGGGAGGGAGGACGGGCCCATGGCCACCCCACCGTGACCACCGCTTGAGTAATAACCCTACGGCCACATCCGTTGAGATGAGATATGCCGGATACGGGCCAGTAACGATCATCTGATAACATCTCCTCTTGAGAAAGAAGGACCGGCCGCCCGGCTTGTGCAACGGTTGCAGGGCTCGCGGTATGCAAACCACCCAAACCAGCGGGTTTCCGCCCCCCCCCAAAAAACCTCTCGCCCCTACGGCCGGTTGCTTTTTGAAGGCATCTCTTGGACGTTGCAGTGCGTCTTCGGTGGAGCTCACCATGGCCGTCTACAAGGTGAAGGTGGCAACGGGCGACATCCTCAAAGCCGGAACCAACAACTCCATCTCCATCACCTTGGTGGGCAGCCGCGGCGAGAGCCAACGGACAGCCATCAAGCACTGGTTCCTGCCGGGGACGGTGAGTGTGGGGACATGAAGGGGTGGCACGGGCTGTCCTGGGAGGTCCCGGCATGGATATTTTGTTGGAGAGGGTGGGAAAAGGGCTGGGTCACCTTCAAGGTTTGGAGGGGGGTGGTGGTGG